CTCTAGCATTTTCAGATCTATTGTCTGTTAGTGAACACTTTTTTGTTTGCATAGATAATATTCCAGGCACAAATTACTCTTCACCCGGACTCAGTGATACACATGCATCCCCCACTACAGGTTATTGACTATCTTATTGACTATCTTATTTACTGATACTTCAAAGTGTATGTTTACATTAAGATACCTCAAGATAACATAATCATAGTCAAATTATTTGGCATATCGTCAGGAAGTGGGTCCATTCTGCAATTTATTTCATAGTCAAATTATTTGGCACTTAGCAACTGCTTTAAATTAAATCTTGAGATACCTCAAGATAACATAGTAAAAGGTTAATAGAAGATTATCAACTGTTTCCTTTCAGAATGAGCAAAAAGAAGACTTCAGTCAGTGCATTTGACAGAGTTTAAGACAAAATTATATTATAGTTGAAAATTGTACAAATATTACTATCCATCAGATCCAGATCTAGGATAAATTGGTACTTATCCTGCACTTCAGGGCTCGTTTGTCCATGTATCAAATGGTTGAAAAATGAACCATTTTTGGACGCTACAGGTTATTGACTATCTTATTGACTATCTTATTTATTGATGTTCAGAGGGTACTTGGACACCTTCATTTTCTCAGCCAGCAGCGGGGTCCGATTTACGTGCCTGGACTCCGGATGTTAGACAGCTACCATTGCCTCCAGAATCGATCATATCAAAAACTAATGCCATGAAGAATCACCCGCAAGCACAGAAAAGGCTAGCTGAACTGAGGGATATGATGAAATTGAGGAGGGAAGTTGCTCTTGCTGCGATGAATAGAGAAGTGGAGAGAGGTAAATTAGTAAATTTGTTAATTCCCGGCTGCATTTTTGACTTAACCAGTGGGTACTAAACATGTTGACAATGTAGGGGCGAAGCGAGATGATAAAGAACAGATTGGACGGGGTGCTAGCAAGCCCGATTCAAAACAAGCACCGACCGGATTTCGGGGTATTCTTCAGTGGTCCGATAATTTGCCAATCGGACCTTGGTCGAAAAAATTTAACAACTACATCGGTGTTTTAGTACGGAGAGCGACTATAGTGAACCCGTACTTCAAATTCAAGGAGCTTCCATGGAAAACATACGAAGATATATGGAGACATCTGATGGTATATGTTCATTAGTTCAGTATTTTTCAATACTTGAGTACTATAAAATTGTATATTTTAGGAATCATAATACATAAGAATACATAAGTTTTAGAACTGATGATATATGTTTATCTAGTTTAGTGCATTGTATGAATTTTATATGTTCATACAATGAGTTCCTTAAATTCATTTCTTAGGAATCATAATATATTTTAGAACTGATGGTATAGGTTTATCTAGTTTAGTGCATTAAACTACATATTCTCGATTCTCTTATTCTTTTCTCACCTCACATTGATGCATAATTACTTACCATTAATGATTTAATGGGCCGACCGATTGGCTTACATAGTTCTTCACCAAAAGTGCCTTCCGCTATGTGCTTATCTAGTAAAGCATCCTGTCAAGAATACAAAATAGAAGTAGCGGATATATACATATTAATTGGGATCCCACATAGATGAAGCTGATATGGTTATAAAGTTTATATTGTAGGAGTTCCATAAATTTTTCGATACTGTTTATGAAATATGAAACAGTTAAGTGAAATACCTTTGCTACAAAGGTGTCTTTGCACCATTGGGCAACTCCATCATCAGTCTGAGGCAACTCCTTCATAGAATGACGTTTGACGTGCACATGTACCTAAATAAGATGATGGTCTCAGCAAAAAAATGATATTGCAAAGATGCAAACTGAATGAAATTTTATCAGGGTAAATTTCAAAAAACTGCCATAACTTTCGGGGGTTTGCTCAAAACTACCATAGACTTTTTATTAGAGAAAACCACCATGAATTTGTAACTTTTGAAAAGTAACAAACTATTGGAAATGGTTGCTGAAGGCATTAATGTGTAGATTTAAACTACCCTTGTTTATACCTATTAACCCACAAAGTTTGTTAAGGGTTAAATAAAAGATAAATAAAGTACAAAAGGGAAAACTGTCAAAACAATGTATCCTGCAACACACGTGACCATAAAAGCAAAATCAGTTTTGATAGTCATCCTTGAGACTATATTCTATGATCTTACAATGATGTATTCTATCTATCCTAATTCTGAATTTCTTGTTTACTGTAATTATTGCTTTTTGGCAGTTTGCACCATGATGCATTCAATTATAAGAATTAAATAATGAATTAAGATCCCCACTAACAATGATAAACTAAAAACTAAAAAAACTTTCACACAGACATTTCAAATAGAGCACCTAGGAAACTGCATCTGGT